GTTCTGCTGACTACTGGGAAATATTATCACTGAGTGGTCTCCTTTGAGAAGTCAGGTGAAAACTCAGATTCTATCGTGTTTCCTGTTCACTTGCTCTTAGCTGTTTTATAAAAAAAAAAAAAGTATTTTCTATACTGATCACTTACTGCAGGATTTTATATCAAGTCTCAGACCCAAAAAGATAGGTTCTTAATGTCAAAAGTAAATCCACTTACCTAGGTTTCAATTAAATTAAATACATTAAAACCTCATACATTCTGACTCTGCCAAGTCAGACTTGGAGGTCTTTTGGGAAAAGGACGTCGTGAAGCTTATACTTTAACTCTTCCTGGGAAAAGAGAGTTGCTATAAACTAATATAGCATAAGCACTGATTATGGAGCAAAACCTCGGAGGATGTCTTATTTTCTAGTTTGCACGATTGCTGAGGAAGTCCCCTCCACACAAAACAATCAGGATCCAGGATTCTTATCTGTTCACTAAGGATGTTCAACACCTGCACCTTGTTAGCTGGTTTCAATGTGTTAAAGTTGTAAGCACTGAGAATAGTTCCTGTAACTTAAAATGCACTCAATAAGTTGGCTCTTTCCCATTTCCTTTGAGTTAGAGTAATATATGAAAATATCAAAGTCACTTAACCGTTCTCTTAGAATATTCTCCATGTGGGAATTCTCTGAGCAGGGGGACCAGAGACCTGACCCATCTGCCACTAATATGGTCATGGACAGTGTCAACAATAAGGCACTTTACGGATCTAAACCTTCTCACCCACCCCCACTACATGGGAGGGAACCTGAGAGGGGGCCAGGGAAGTGAGTGAACACCCTTTCCCTCCTTCCAGGGTTTGATAAGGCAAGGGCGGGTTCCGCAGGGCAGAGGGCAGTGGCAGTTTTGCCAAAAAGGGATGTTAGGAGGGCAGACATTCATTCCAAGGCTTGTACATTCAGGTTAAAGATAATAAGGCATTATGGGGCAGTAAAAAGGAAAAGGAATGAAGTATTGATACCCACTAAAATATGGGCGAAACTTGAAAACATGGTGCTTAGTGGGGGAAAAAAAAAGTCACCAAAAAATACATTTACTGTGTGATTGCTTTTATAGAAAATGTCTGGCAACAGGCAAATCTCATCCTGAGCTATATTTCCAGCCTCCTCTTCTCCTTCCTCCAACTCAAGCAGCATTTGCTGGATCCTCAACAAATGACCCACTGTTCCCTGAAAACTCCACGTGCTTTCAGATCCCTATCCCTTTGCACATGCTGGTCTCCCCACAGAGAAGGCTCTCCTTCTTCTTTATTATCTTCAAATGCAGATCTAGTCTTGTAGGCCCAGCTTGACTGTCAACACCCAGCGAACAGTCTTGACGCCCACTGATGGGCACCTCACCACCATGAAAATGTCAACCGAGATTTGAAATAGCATAGAGTATCAGAGCTGGAACCAAACCTGGAGGTTACCATGTCTGACATCAGTCCCTTTACAGAACAGAGGAGGAAACTGAGGCCCCGAGGGGATGCACGGCTGGTCTGAGTCCTGAAGCTCACCGGAGACAGTACCGGGTTATCATCGCTCCTGATACAGTGCTCTTTGCCTTACACTCCAGCCCTCTTGCAATTTTTTGACTAGGCAAATATTTATCAACAACTTTTATGTACCTGTGATTGATTGTATCAACTCATACTTTAAAAACCCTTACGTGTAACTCCCCATTATTATTGTGAAACAGAATCTATAGGCCTCTTTATGGTCAACAAAGGCTTACCATTCCAGCTTCACTCCTTGCTGCCCCAACCAAATTCAACCACGCAGCCATTCTGAACTGGTGGATGTAATATCACGTAGTCAAAAGTGCAAGGACTTTGAGTCAGAGACCTGGGTTGTGACCAGGTCCCTGCCACATACTTAGCTGTACGACCTTGGGAAATTTAATTCATCTTTCAGAGCCTCAGTTTTGTCACGTGTGAAATGGGGATGACCGTATCTGTCTTTCAAGATCCTTGTCAGAATTACCTGATTGTTTAAAAGCATGGAGGCTGGGGAGCAGGGAATGGAATGAGGGAGCAAGTGAGGAGGGGAAGGACTGGAGGAGGGAGGGAGAGAGTCAGGGAGGGGATGATGGAGGGCTTGAGAGAGGATGAGAGAGAGAGAAGAAGCGAGCTAGCAAGCATGGGCAGAAGTGGAAAAAAATTAATTAAAAATAAATAAAAGCACTTATGCTTCATTAATGGTGAAGTTTATCGTTTTAGATGATGACGACTTTCCTCAGGAAGTGTCCCTGCCCTCCCAACATCCTGGAAGGTGCTCCTCTATCAACCACTCCTGTACTTACCTCAAACCATGTCAATTCCTGTTAATTCTTTGTCTCTGCTCTTGAGCTGGGAGCTCCTTGAGAGCAGGATCCTTTTGTCTTGTTCAGCTTGGTATCTCCAGCACATAATACATTGTTAGCACCCAGGAAATGTTTGTTGGTTGAAAGGAAAAGGAAGGAGAGGAAAAGCAAGAGGCAAGGTGCTGTAATGGACACAAGCATGGCAAAGCCGAAGTCTCTGCCCCCAGGTGGAAAGCCTCTGACTCTCTAAGAATCGGGTAGGACACACTTACTGGGGGAGGGGTGCTTACATTTTTTAAAATTTTAATGTTTTCCTTATTGTGAAATACATCATACACACGGCACTGCAAAAGCAGTGTGTATGGTTTGAAGAATTATAAAACGAACACCGTGTAATCACGACGCGGGCCCAGAAGTCGGAGGGAATGGCAGCTCCCTGGGTCTCCCCAGGTCACCTCTTCCTTCCTCTCTCCAAGAAGTGGCCACTTTCCTGATGTTTATGATAATCATCTTCTTGCTTCTCTTTATGATTTACCACTCATGTATGGATCCCCAACCGACACAATTTAGCGTTGCTTGTTCTTGAATTTTACGTAACTTGAATCATACTGTATGCATATTCTTCCGAGACTCGCTTCCTTCTCTCACTGCAACGTTGAGAGATTAGCTCCTGTTGCTGATTGTAGCTGTAGGGTTTCTTCCATCACTATACTGTTCCATCATGTGACTATGCCACCATTTATTTATCCATCTATTGCTGATGGACTTTTGCAGTTTTTCCAGTTTGGGGCTATTACAAACATCACTTCTATAAACATTGTTGTATCTATTTTCTGGGATATTTAAATGTGGTGGGGTCTTTTTTAGCGGTGACGGGGGGTGGTGGGTTTGAGAATTTATTTTACCTTCAGGATCTGTGAAGTCCCTAGCATTGTGAAATCGAAACTACTTTGCACAAAGAAGGTAGACAAGAGCGGAAGAAATCAGTGTTTTTCAGAGTGTGGTCCAAGATGACCCACAGCAAAATCATCTGGAGAATGTGTTAAATATGTGGATTAGATGGCCCAGCCCAACCCTAGCAAATGAGAACGTGTGGAGATAAAGCCTGAAAAAGTTGCATCTTAGCAGGCTCGCTGCCCACCTCTCTCACGAGTCTTAGGTGGGTCACCAGGCCTCCTCTTCCTGCTGTCCGAGGTGTGGTGGGACACTCCTCAGTGGCTGGGACAATGTTAGGAAATTTTGAGAGAGGAAGGGTACGTAGTAGTGCCTTCATGCCCAGGAATCAGCTCCCTCCCTGCTTCCTCTGGGACAGCCCCTCGCGGTGGTGTACCAACAACGTCCAAGGGGACCAGTTGCGGTCCCAGCTCTCCGCTTTCTTCTCTGCAGTCCCACCCCATGCCCTATTCCTGTCCTCCAAATGCTCGGCAGCACTCAGAAGTCTTAACTCGTCTTTCCATGAGCCTCAACGATACTTTACCTCAACAAGGCACCTAGTTTTTGTTGTTTTAAATAGATTTTGAGTTTTAAATCACAGCAAAACTGAACATAAAGTACAGAATTCTCATATACCCTTGTCCGCAAACACAACACAACCTCCCCCACGATCAACATCCCACACAAGCGTAGTATGTCACAATCGATGAACCTACATCAACACATCATTCTCACCGAAAGTCCAGGTTAATGTACATTAGGGTTCACTCTTGGTGTTCGCACTCAATGGATTTTGACAAATATGTGATGACCTGTATACAACATTAAGTTTCACTATCATAAAAATCCTCTTTATTCCACCCATTCTTTCCTCTCTCCCCACAACTCAGTCTTTTTACTGTCTCCCTAGTTTTGCCTTTTTCATAATGTCATATGGTTATTTAGCCTTCTCAGATTGACTTTTTTCACTTAGTAATATGAATTTAAGTTCCCCAAGTCTTTTCATGGCTTGGTAACTCGTTTGAGTGCTAAATAATATTCCACTGTCTGGATACCACAGTTTATCCACTCACCTAATGAAATCTTAGTTGCTTCCAAGTTTTGGCAATTATGAATAAAGCTCCTATAAACGTGCATGTGCAAGTTTCTGTGTGGACATAAATTTTCAGCTCCTTTGGGTAAATAGCAAGATGCACAATTCCTGGATGATACAGTTAAGAATGTTTAATTTTGTAAGAAATTGCCAGTGTCTTCCAAAGTGGCTGTACCATTTTGCATTCCTCAGTGAAGAATGAGCATTCCCGTTGAGCCACACTTTCACCAGCATCCGGTGGGTTTTTTTGGATTTTGGCCAAATAGGTGTGTAGTGGTATCTCACTGATGTTTTAATTTAGACAAACCTGGTTTTTAAACAACTACTCACTTTTCCTCTGTGGTTTTGGGGTCTCTTATTTTAAAATTTTGCACAAGTTATGAGCAGGTAATTCATTTTTTCTTGTTAGAAACAGTCTTATCTACAAATATTTCTTAAGGCTAACTTTCTGGGGGCGCCTGGGTGGCTCAGTCAGTTAAGCATCCAACTCTTGATTTTGGCTCAGGTCATGATCTCAGGGTCGTGGGTGCAGAGTCGGTTTCAGATTCTCTCTCCCTCTCCCTGGCCTCTCCCTATGCTCTTGTGCTCTAAATAAGATCTTAAAAAAAAAAGACTAACTTTCTCTTTTTTTTCCCTTTTAAATGTAGGTAAATGCAGAGGGGACGCCAGAGGAAGTTTTTCTTCAACTCTGCACAGCTATTGACTCTATTTTCTGAAGGCAAAAAAGCATGTGCATTAAGGAGAGTGGAGACAGAAAAAAATATTGAAAGGTTCATCCCTTAACACAGTATGTTTCAAGTTAAACCTTTAGTGCTCCCCGCCGCCGCCCCAATCCTAACATTGCTGTTTGCTGCCCAACTCGACCTTCCTGAGAGGTGTCTGGAAATCATGCATGATGTATTTCGTAGGCTCCACCTCTTCTCCCTCACCCCACAGCTGTCCGCCCCCTGGCACGCACACTGCTCTGCGGTCCCGGCCGTGCCCCCGAGCTGCTGGTGTGTAAGCAGCAGTGAGTGCTGGCGTGCGCCAGTGGTGCCCCCAGGACTCGCAGCAGTCTGTCTGGTTTCCCTCTGCCAAGTGGGGGATTGGCGCCCCTAACCCCGCAGCACATTTCCCTTCCTCATCCCGACACTGACATGCTGTTGCCTGATGAAGGGCCTTCATCTGAGGGGCAGGCCTAGGCATCTCCTCAAGTCTCATCCACTAGCAGTAGCTCAGAGCCAGAGACTGGGCTGACAACTCCAATTGCTGATAAGAAATGTGATTAAATTTGATAAGAGATAATACAGTGTGAAATTGTATAGCTTTCCCGAGACAGTAAAACCCAGACTAGTCACCAATAACATGTGTCCGTTCATTTTTTGGAAACTGGCTACTTGGACTGCTGTCATAATGGCTAAGAAAACAAACTGGATAAATTGTCTAACCTGATCGCTTTTATACCTGGTGGTGCATTTCAACAATGATAAATTAATACCAATGATCAAACATAACTTTAAAGCACGAGGTGATTTGTTACTGCATTCACTGGACTAATGTCAGCTTACAGTTTTGATTTCACATGATCACCTATTTACTTATTGTTACTGCCAAGCAAGTAAGAAATAAAGTAACAGTAACCAAACTGATGTGGGTAGGAGAGGCATGTCAGTACATGATGTTTAACAGATCCCAGAGGTACATTCGTTTCATATAGGCCTTCAACAGGGCTGTGCAAACCTTATCATATCCATATGTAAAACTGTGTTTTCCTTGCTTCAAACCAGTGAAGTTTGGGTTCTCTTTTGTGCTATCAGTTGCCAAATCAGAGCTTCTTCTATATTCTACTGGAATAATTGCATCTTCCATTCAGTCACTTTATAAAAGACCATAGTTTCAGTTTGCATGACTTTTTTCCCCTTCAATGGTTGTGCTGATAAGGATCCAATTCTGGGACAGAACTGTATTTTTAAAGTCATTTTTTTTCTTTTGAAATGGATATGTACAAATAAAATAAATGGAACACAACAAAACTCTTTTTCTATTTATTTGTAACTCACATCATTCTGGAAAGCACTTGAAGCCTTATTCCAAACAGAATTAGAAGCAAAGACAGTAATAGTTGAAATTTAGGATATGCTCATATGGTTTTAATTTTGGCCATAGATCAGTTTTGAGCTATTACAGAGAGAATTCTCAGTGTACTCATGATACATGGTAATTTTTGTATTTCCTTTTGCTCTAGCAGTCATTCTTAAACAGAAATGTCAGTGTTTGCTAAAGAAAAAATTAAGCTTCTTTGGTTACAATTATGCCTCTATTACAAAAAGGGGCATGTTCCTACAACTCACACAGTTGTCAAATGCTTCATTACTACCCCAGCTGTCACACTCTCTATAAGGGGGCACAAGGAGCATTTCAGCAAATGAGAGAGAGTTAGAGGATGAAAATTATCACTTATGCCAAAAACACAAAATGACTCTTTGTAGGGATTAACATTCTTTAAACACATACCACATACTGGCAAATACAGTCCATGCCTACCACAGCTCTGACAGCTTCAGGAAGGGAAATGAGATGGCAGGGCAGCAGACAGGGCCAGCCATGGCTTTTATGGCTGTAGCTGGCTGCCCACTTGAAAAAAAAAAACAACCAACCAACCAGCAGGGGTAAATGGCTTTGCCCCTGAAGAGTATCTAGAGATGCAGTAGATTGCTAAAACATGTTACTGATGTGGATGGCTTGAAATAACATCACTACTTTAAAGTCACAGGATTTTAAAGCAGGAAAGGATCTCAGAGGTGTTTGCCTAGCAAAAGACCTTGTGTGTATGGAAATAAGACATCAGAACACGATCCAAACTCCTTTACAGTGGTCCACATTCAAGGCCTCACCTGCTCTGGCCCTGTAACTTTGTATCACCCCATCAACTATACTCTCCTCTTGCTCATTTGGCTCAAGCTACCTGACCCTCTTAATGTTGCCTGAACAAGCCAAGCTCTTTGCTCCATCAGGACCCTTGTTGCTATCCTTCTGCCTCTTCCACCAGGTTATCCATAAGCTAATTCCTTCACTCCGTCCAGGTCTCTGTTCGAATTTACACTCGTCATCAAGACATTCTTTGATTATTCCATCTAAAAATGACAGACGGGTCTCCATTCTTCCATCATTTTTCTTTAACCGTTATTTTTCTTCACAGCATTTATCTCTGCTTAACTTTACATAGTATTTCATATGTACTTGTTTACTGCTATTCTGCTGCATTAGACTATAAGCTCTATAAGGGCAAAGCTTTATATCCTCAGTCCCACACATAGCAATTTTTGAGAGCTAACATTTAAATCCTCTGAACCTTCCTTACTTCCCTGTAGAGATCATAATAATAAGCACCCTCATAGAGGAGCTGTGAGGATTAAACAAGTTAATTATACCTCTATATCATTTACTAGTTCCTACTGTTCAATAAAAGGTGGTTTTTAGTCAACATTTATTGAGTGCGCCTCACAATTGGGACTGGGACCCAGAATTTCCACTCTAGTGTCCTTTCACTCTAAAAACATGGCAGAGAATCAAGATATATGGCCTAGCTGGGGATCCAGAGAGAAGTATAATCTCAGTCGCCCAAGGTTGAACCATATCCTCCAGAAGAGATAGGATGCAATTCTTCAGTCCTCTCAGAGCCCTGGAAAGATCCTCTGAGGCAGGCCCTCTAAGGGCCCCACATGGGCACTCACAGACACACTCAGACATAAGTGGTCTCTCTCTCCTACCTTCCTGGAGAAAAAATGTAACTCATGGAAACACTGATCATACTACCAATAAATATTTACTGAAAATCTACTAAGAGCTAGGCAGGCCATAGGGATACAGACAGACATGGATGGTCTCTGTCCTCATGGAGCTAAATGTGATACCACTCTCAAAAACCCATTTAATCGGCTACATGAGAAGTTTAAAAAAAAAAAAAAAGTCATGGGGGGGATCATATCAACAGAAGCGTATTTCATAAAGTTAAGAAATAAAGACACTTAATAACCTAAAAATGACAATGCCTCCATAATCTTTGTGGGGAAAAAAACTACCTGTTATTTGGAGACTTCCAGTACACCTAGAGCAACGGCTTTCAAACTCTGTTACCCATATTAAAAAAACACAGTTTACACAGCATGCCACAGTTACAACTAAAAAAGGAATTTCACAAAACAGTATTTATCCTTACCACCTGTGATATACTATTTTCTTAAAAAAAAAAAGTTCTTCATATCTCAGTATATAGTTGTTCTGTAATGTAATTTAAACAAAAGGGGAACTGGATAAGGCATACTATCAGGTTAAGTGAGAGGCACCAAACATGCATGGAAACAAATTGTCTCAGACAGGAGACTTTGCCTAAAGCCTCATGATCACATGTTTGCTGTCAAATCAGAATATGTAAATTCTATGTATGTGTGGTTTTCTAACTCACCATGGCCGACGATTTCAGTGCTTTTCCCCCATCCACAGATCTGCTTCTCTATTCTGTGCTAAGGTTTGTAACTCTAGGAGCCACACCACACCAGAAAAAAAGACTGAAAAGCAACCCCTGCGCACTTCCACCTGCAACACCTTAGTGACGCTTGACACAAAGGGAATATTCTTGCTCCAGAAATTGGGTAGTGACTCTGGAGCAATCTGTTTAGGTTAAACTTTACTAACTATATGACCCCGAGCAAGTTATTTAACCTCTCTGGCTAGATCTCCTCATATGAAAACAGGATAATCAACACACCTTTCTCCTAAGGTGGTGAGAATTAAATCTGCTATCATATGCTTGCTTGGCACATAGTAAGCACTTCATTAGTATTTGCTATTATTATTAGTGCACACCACACCAATCAAAACCTCTTCTGCCTAAACCTTAGAGCAGTGGTTTTCGGTGTCATTCAAAGTTCCTTCAGTTCTTAGCAAATAACTTGAACATATCTCAGGAAATACATCTGACCTACTAAATACCACTTAATATACAATGCTTTTAACAACTCAGTCTATGTTGTCTGTTAAAGGCCATACTTCCTTATAGGAGATGGAAGGACTACTTGCAAAAGACAGCCTTGCCCATTCTTCCAGTCCACCAATTAAAATGACAACAACACATTACTACTACTATGCCCTTTAGAGCATTTAAAAGCCAGGAGGACTATATGCTTGGAGCTGAAAATGCAAAATAAACAGATCTTTACTCAAGCAGAAAGTAATGCTCTTTGCCACTCAAAATTTTCAAAATCTCTGCCCTTGAAAAATACATTTAAGTAGATTTTATTTAGTGTATTGTTTGGATCAGAACTGTATCACACACAGCCCTCTTCCAAAGCATACTTTATACTTTATGGGACTTTTTGAATGGACCTGAATGGCTCTCCAAAACCAATTGGTATTATTTCTATAAAACACAAGTTTCCATCAAGTGCTGCAGTCTTGCTACAAATTGAAGGCAGAACTCCTGGCATATTCACTTAACATTTAATATCAGAATGCCCCCATGTTAACAATTCCCTCTTCTCCCAACTAATAATTCCAGGGTGAGAGGTTAAGTCCATTTCCTGTTCTGATGCAATATATTTTATCAGAATCATCAGTAATCTTTAATCAATATATTATTTTAAAACCCTCATATTTCTATATTTAAAATATATTACTTTTTTCAATTAAAAAAATTCAAGGTATGATTTTAGTATCTCACAACAAATACTGAAGGACTAGTAAATAATGTCCCCTTGATTTAAAATTGGAAAAAACTCTAAAACTAAAGTAAGTATTAATATTTAATCTTAGAATATTTATTCATCTCTTCCAATAGTCAATAATAATTGTCAGTGCATACAGTGATCTTCAAAAACCATCTGTTTAAACACATGAGGGGGGCTTACTTTCATCCAAAAGAATAAAATTTTTCAGCCTTAGTTTTCACATCTGGACATTAATAATAGCATTCTTCTTTAACCATGGTGTGTGTTCTTTTTGTAACCCAGTTTAATTTAGTGTCTCAGCACACACTGAGCGAAAACATAACCACCTTTCCAGAGCTTCTCACATTCAACCCATTTCCATAATACTATAGTCCTTACTCTTTTTTTAAAGGACAGAAAGGTAAAGCAGCCCCTTAAAAAGAATGTTTTTTTTGTTTTAACACTAGTAAAAAAAAAACTCCAAAATCTAACCAAAAGGAACTCACAACAAGCATTCTATAATATAAACAGACAGTATCCACATAGTTTATTTCTCACAGTTCTCCTGACAAATGAACATTATTCAAGAACATACTGTATACACAGATAAGAAGAAACATACAAAATGTTTTAAATGATGCACAACAAAATCCAGCAGTATAAAAGAATGCATGTGAACTCTTGCTCACTGCGCAGACTAAATTTAATCACTTGTTTAAATAGTAATAAAAATACAATCTTTTATGGATCTTGTGCAGACTACAAAAGAGGGAAATTATTACCATATATATGATTTTTATATTAGGCAGTTTTCTTTGATGAGTTGCACTGACAACTCCAAATACAGAGGCAGAAGGCTGTGTATTTTAAAGGAATTAATGTTGTGAATTAGAGACTTTACACAGTTACTACCACTGGCACTTTTCACCATAGTTTGTACACATCACATGATCATCTTATATAACATTACATTTAAAAAATATATCTGAGTGACAACTGTATAACATTCACACACCATGAGCTGGTCAAGGAAGCAATGCCACAGCGGCCTCCTGTAGTGCTTCGCTGTTGGTAAGAAGGACAGTTCATTGTGGTTAAAAGAAATTAGACATCAATATGGTTAAGCAGCTCCGATTTACTAAAGGCCATCAGTGGCCACCAATGGGACAGTGAGTTCTTTTTAAGTGTATATCCTAGAAGCAAATACCATCATTGGTTAAAACTTTGTCTAAGAAGTCAGCTTCTGTGCCGAAAACTATTTTCACAAAACTGAAAGCTACTAAACTGTTTTAAGATAAATACTTTGTCTTCTCATTATCCTA